TTCTTCGTAGAGGGTTCGCCCCCAGGTTTGCCGGTGTTTACCCACGTATTTTTGCGCGGGCCACCTTAAACAAATTGGGAGAGTTCCCCCTGACGAATCAGGCGCTCGATGGCTTTCATCAGCGTGATGCAGTCGTCGGTGTTGTGTGAGGAGTTCTTGTGGAACCGACAGTAGGTGCCGCCTTGCTGGATGGCAAGGACTTCCTCCGCCGGCCGAGGAGCTTGTTCAATGAGGCCATGCTTCTCGGCATAGTCGAGGATGGTGCTGACCGGGTGGGTGAGGGGGACCCCCGGCCGTTCCAACCTCGGCCGCCAATGGCGGTCTTTCTTGCTTTGTCCACCAGAGCCGTGACGGCCTTGGGCACCCTGGCCGGCCGGGGATGATCCCGGGGATGGCGAAGGATTTGTCTTCTTGGAGGAATGGCCTCCGTCTTTTTTGTGGCTGTGGAGCTCGTCGGCATCAGCGTACAAGCTCCCGCGCTGAAGCGCCTTTGCATATGACCTCGGAGGGTCGGTGATGAGGCTCCTGGCATACGGGGAGCTGCAGAGGGCTCCCTGGTAGAGGACGAGGAGGGTGCGTTCATCGGCCCCCTCGACCTCTTTGGTCTCCCTCGTCCACCGATCAATAAATGACCGGAGGGGTTCGTCATGTTGCTGCTTGACGGAGAGGAGATGGGTGAAATACTTCTTCGCACGCTTCCTCTCGGCAAAGTGGGTGAGGAAACGCTAGGCAAGGTCCTGCCATAAGTCTATACTCCCTTCGGGAAGCGCGTTGAACCACTCGTACGCTGGCCACTCGCACGCTTCACCATCAGAATGTTGTTCTGATAGCGGCTGAAGTGCTCCTGGGGGTCTGATCGGCCGTCGTAGGACTTGATGGCGTTCCCCCTGTACTTCTCCGGGATGGGGGCCGAGAGCACCCTGTTAGTGAAAGGGGTCCTGGTCCTGACCTGGATGACGGGGTCACCTCGCCCTTCGGCCAACTCCCTCTCAAGGGTGCTGACCTTGTTCATGAGAGCATTGAGGCCAAGATCGTTGGAGGCGCCGGCCGTGGGAATGTTTGCCTATTGCTTGGCCTCCATCTGGGCCAGCCTCCTTTCCAGCTGGGCGATGACCTCGTCCCGAGGATCCCTGGCGGCTGCAGCAGCGCCCTGCTGGTTCTGCATGCGCCCCTCGTGGGCCGCGTTGATCTGGTTGCGCACGTCGTCCTCGTGCAACTTTCCCTTGCCCTTGTCCAGGCGGGGCTGGTCCGCTGTCCGGGACACAGACCCCAAGCTTTCCCTTGGTGAGCCAGGCCGACGCTCACCAATCCATCCTGCCATCCTCTCCGAAACCGGACGACGGCACGTGTCACCCAGCCTATTGATAGCAGAGGCTTTTCCACGCGCTGGGGTCTGAACCGGCCGAAGAGGGGAAGCGGGGTGGGAGTGGGACGACGTCGTGTCCTGGGCTATCACCCCCTCATCTTTGCCTAACCTTGTGGCCAATGGTTGGGGCTGAGGAGGTGGAGTGACGTTCCCCCCAGTCCTTGGCAAGAGTGCGCTGAGGACGGTGGGGTTCTGAGCCAAGCTGGCGATGATGACCGACAATGCGGCCTGAACCTATGGATCCACAGACGGAGAAGTCGCGGCCATAGGTTGGGCCGGGGCGTGGTCTGTCTTCTCTGCGCGCTTCTTGTCCAGGCCGATGCGGGCATCAGGGGCGCCGCCGTTGAGCTGGTTGCGTAGGTCCGTTGTGAGGTTGATGGCCTCCTGGAAGACGTCCCCTCCTCTGACCTGGTCGGCCGTGGCATCCTCCTCACGCTCCCTGGTCTCCTGATCCTCAAGGATGGTCTTGCTGACGAGGTTGTGGTTTGACTTGGTTCTTCCCAAGATCAGTGGTTAGCTGTGTTTGGTAGCGACGAAGGGTGCTAACTTGATTGTTCTAGCTCTCAACGAGAGCACCAAATGACAGAGTATATATCTAGAGAGAAGTGACAGCTAGAGAGAGAAGTGCAAGTAATTGCTTCAATAGAATGATTTTGTCACCCCTACAACTACCACCAGAGGAAGTATTTATAGGAAAAATACGGGCTGGGCTCCAAAGCCTTGGGCTGGGCTCCCAAGCCTTGGGCTTGGGAGGCCCATTTACAACTGCACCGCTATTGGGCCGAATACAAAGTAAATGATGGAGTATATAAATGAGTAAGTGTAAAATCCGGTTCTGTGAGGCTTCCGTGGCCGGCGAGGGTTTGGCCGACGAGGGCACGGCCGACGAGGGCACGGCCGACGGGGGCACCCTAGTTCCCTGGCTTCAGGATCATATTCCGAGTTGGTCCCTCTTCGGCCGACGGGGGTCCTTTGGCCGACGAGGGCATCCTAGTTGGTTTGTACTTTATGTTCTTCTGAGTATGTGGGTCCTGGGGCCTAGACTCATATACTCCATCAAGTTGTTTTATGATTACTTCTTTCATGTCACATATACGCACATTATATGTGATTTGATCCTAAAAGTGGAAAAATTTAAAATGACTCCTTATTTTTAATACATTCTAGAAATTCATATTGAATAAATATAACAGAAAGTACTCTAAATAAGAGCAAAACTATGACAAAAATAAAAAATATGACATCTTATGTTTTTAATCCAAAATAAGATTATATTACTCTTATTTGGAAACATACATATTTTTTCATTCTATTCTTACCTCTTCTTTAAATATGAGTGAAAGGTTGTCAAAAGTTATCATTAATAAAAAATAGTAGAAAAATAATAAAAACTGATAAAATATTAATAAATACAAAATAAAAAAATAAAAAAAAAATCAAAAATTAATAAAAAATATTAAAAATCCATAAAAATAAAATAAAATATATGGATGCCTTTCCCGCCACCTGTACTGCATCTTTGCACCACCACCTCCAATCGGTGTAAAAATACCATTTTTTCTTAAAAAATGCTACTCCCTTCATCCCATTCAAAACTTCACGTCCACTATTCACAAGGTCAACTTAAATCATTTTTAATCGTTTGCTTTATATATCAAATTTTTATTAAATTTACATTTTTTATCAGGCTTTGTAGCAATTTTAATGTAGTTTCTGAATATGTAAATTCTATTTACTAAAAATAATCAGAGTGTGAGCAGGGATTAAGTTGCTTTATCGTCAGTCAAACATCGTAAACCGTAATTGGAACCTTCTGATGGGACAAAGGGAGTATTTTTTTCTGAAAATGCAAAAATGGCATATTACTCTTTGAGAATGCCAAAATTTTCATTGAATATGCCATAAATATGGTATTCCTAATGCATGTGGCATTTTCCCCCAGTGACCTGAGGTTGTGGTACTAGGGCGGAAGAGGCGGCGGTGATTTTTTTTTTTGCTTTTTTTTAAAATTATTTTTTAAAAAATCAAATTTTTTATTAATTTTTTAGTATTCTTTACCAATTTTTATTACTTTGTATTATTTTATTATGAATTAAAACATTTCAATAGCTACAGCGTATACTTGTCCAAGATACACAAATTAGTTCTATGAAACATAATTTATTTTTTAGTCCTATTTGTGCAAACGGACCGGCTTTTAGTCGTATATGCATAATTAACTCTAAGTATTGATGGGGTATATGGCCCAGGAACCCTCGGCCCACATACGTCCACTACTACAAACAGGCCCAACAGACCCAAGTGGCCCAAATACAGCAGTCAAGACTCCAAACAGCCCATGATATACAGGGTTTAGCCTCCGGCCTTGTGACCGAAGGCCTCATATTCGGGGAAATGATTATACCTTGTCCAATGACACAAGTGGGAAACAAGGCCAAAAATCGTCAGCCCTCGACATATACAGACTTCGGCACATACGGACCCTCGGTACATGCGCGCGCAGCCGAATGCACTACCCCGATAAGATCTTCTCTCTCCATACTCTGGATCACCGCATTAAATGTGATGTCACATCCAAACCACCGCATTGAATGTGGTGCAACATGCTATGCCGGCGTCACCCCGGTTGAGTTGACCCTCCACCGTTGATTAATCGACACATGTACTCGCATTAAATGTGCTTAGCATTTAATGAGTTCATTTATTACATACTTGTTCTCTCTCTCACTTGTTCCGACTTCTCTCTAGATATCGCTCAGCGGTATCCCCCGGATACACTATCCGTCAAGTATAAATAATAACATCACTGTAAAGTTATCATGGAATATATAAATTAAAATCATGTATGGAGTTAATTAAGAAAATATTCTCAGCGTATATGATGGTCTTTCTTGTTAAAATATTTATTCCACATCAGAAAATTATAAAACAATAATACACTTTATAAAATTTTGGGTTACTCTTCTTATGACCTTTTATGATGAAACTTAGAATCTCAACATTCTTTTAAAGAAAATGAATGGCCTGGATTGTATCACTTTTATATTAAAAACATATAACTACAATAAATGGATGTCAATTTTATATTAAAATGTGGTGGTAAATGTGTGAATGTTAGAATTGAAGTTTAATACTCCGTATGTGAAATGTAAATGTTAGAAACTTAACGTGGATTACGTTTACATAAAAGTTCGCTAGATCATGTGTTTCGAACCTGTATTATTTTTGCACTCCAATTATTTTATATTTTGATACACATACCAACGGAGTATATGAATGCTCACTTTGATTTTCTAATTTTTTTTAAATAACACTAAAATATAGTACCTCTGTTCTTATAGTTGACAAAAAAATGTTGACTTTGCAAAACAATTTAGAACGGAGGGAGTATAATATTTTCCACATGGGATCTGCCATGGGCGACAGTTTGTGTCACATCCGATCAAACCACTTTTTATTTCGTGGACTACAAATCCATTTATTTTTTTGTTCAGATAGAGGAAAATGCTTTTTGTACACATTTTGGTGTAACATTTTGTACATCCGTCTGTATCAAATATATATATATATATAGAATTGTTTGTTGACACACAATTTTTTGTGAATGAGAAAAAGGAGTGTACAAAACGTGTTGCTAGTATAGAAAGGCTCGTACACATGAATCAAAAAAACAAGGGTCTCTTCGGAAATGTGCCCCACTCCTTATTATTTAATGTTATCTTTCATTACACAAAACCATTTACACCTAGCCAGGAAAAATAGTCAAAGTTGACCGGCGGGACCCGGGCCGGCGTCAAACAAACCTAAGTTTTATGCATGAGCAGGAGAACAATCCCGTCCCGTCCGACGACGAGTGACTTCTTCTATAAAGATTTTTATTATTATTCCTCCTACTACTTCCAATAAGCCTACAGCTACCGTTATCGTCGTCTTCCGTCACCGGACTAAATTCATCCTTTGTTTCTCCGGGCGCGGTTGCCGGAATAATCCTACCCTCAAATATGGAGCTCCCGGCAGCATGGTAATCATCACCGTCACCTCCGAAGAAGTCCCCAGCCGCGAACGATGACGTTAGTGGACGGAGTATTCTAGAGTAGCAAACTGACGGCGGCCGGTTGGTCATTTGGGTATTCGGCGATACTGAGGACGCGTCATTCTTGTCGTTTTGGTTCCCATATCCATCTAGGACTGGCTCTGCACATATTGCATGCAGCGAGAACAAAAAATAAAACCACATTATCAGTTTCAATTCAATACTAAGATTGGAACAAGAGAATAAAGTGACACGATTATTAAGAAATCAGGTGAGTTTTTGCGGTTGTATTAAATTGATAAGGTAAGAATAAAGTAAAAATCATTTAGAATAACACAAATTTTACCAAATTTGGTATGGGATAATCTTAGTGGAATTTCCGAAAAGGTAAAATGAGACAATATTAGCGGGACGGAGGGAGTATAGATATCTTTCACATCTTTCTCTAATTCAAAATTCTTTATTGCAAGTAATAGTTGTACTACTAATTTCGTTTGACCCGTTTAGGTACATTATAACTTCAAATGTCACTTACCAAATACTTCATTGTAATTTTTCTTACTATATACTTTAGTAGTTTGTTTGATGTGTTAGAGCATCTCCAATATTATAGTGTGTACGGTGCACATGTGCATGAAAAAATCCACATAAATATTAGCAAATAAATTATCTCTCTCCTTATTTGATTCATTTTATACAATTTTGGTAATGTATCTCTCTAGTTTTCCCCGGCAAAGTCAACTGCAATGTTGACATTGCAGTTGACATGGGAAATTTGTTTAATCGATCCTATAACTTTGCCCTTGTCCAATATTGATCGTGTAACTTCACATACTTGCAAAATACATCCTCCAACTTATAAATTTATTCAATTTGAGGACATTTGAGATGGAAAGTAAAATGTTGGCCAGAAAGTTACATGTCAAGCTCCACCAATTCTAATATTTTCCTAACTTATGCTAAAGGTACCTCAAAGTTGTACCCCATTTTTACCCCACCCCTAATTGTATGGCCATAAATGGGGCAACTCATTGTGTGGCCATAAATGGGGCAACTCATTTAAGTGATCGCCCCACTTAAATGAGGTATGAACACACATTAGAAGTGGGGTAAAAATGAGGTACAACTTTGGGATACCTTTAGCATTTTACTTATAGCAATAAAAGCAAAAACCTAAAAGAACAAGTGGCACTGACATGTCAATTTAGACGGAATTGTTACTCTCGGCGTAAATGTCCTCAAATTGGACAAATATGTTAGATAGAGAACGTATTATGCAAGTAAATGAAGTTAGAGTACCAATATCGGGTACCGTAAAAAGTTAGGGTACTCATAAAATGTCAGGATCGGGCATCAGGGCATGTTCACGTTGACTAGAAAACAATATGTGGATGTGAACCTTTCGATTGTTCCAAAAAGGTGGAATCTCCCACCCCAAGAGCCCCCCACCCCGACCCAACAGGATGGTGGGGAGGTTAGTCACGGTGACTCAGTCAGCAGAATGACAGTAGGCTCATACACCCGTGCGCACCAGATGCCCAGCCTTATTTCAGGTTCTGTGACCTCCACCCGGTCGCTGCGGGGATTCGAACCTTAGTACATTGTTCCAAATCTTCCACCACTCGACCAACTGAGCTACCCGTGCGGGTGATGCGAACCTTTCAATATGACGGAAGTAGTGTACATAGTAACTCAAAAGAGAGGACAATATTTTTAACTCCTATATACTACTCCCTCCGTTGTGAAAAGGTTGGCCAAATTTCCTTTTTTTGATGTCTCAAAAAAATTTGTCATTTCCATTTAAAGTAAAGAATAAGTGGCTAAAATTAATTCTCTCTCCTCTGCACAAATTTCAACCACACAATTTTTACTTTATTAATCCATGTGAAAGTCAATTTTGGCCAACCTTTTCGGGACGGATGGAGTAGTAAAATATATGGGAAAATTTTCCTAAATAGGATTTAAAACATTATGGAATTTCAAAATAGGACTGTCATGTTTTTATCCCCGAAATAAGAATAATTATTGTCATGTTTTAGCAGTATCAGACTTTAAATATGGCAATATTTTTCAAACTTGACAATAAATACTTCTATTTAAGAAATAAAAATATGAGTGTCCTACTTTAGAATTCCAAAACTTTTTTACTCCAATTTCAGGAATTTTTCCAAATATATATCGACAAAATAGAATAACATATCACATATATCATATCAAACCACACTAGTTCAGACTTCATACCACTGTTCTAAAAGTCGCTCTAGACGCCCGACTAGTCTCTGTCTAGGAGGTGGTTGGGCTCCCCGATTTTAGTCTAGGCGCCTTGATTAATTGGTTTGGTGCCTAGATGATTTAGTCAACCGCCTAGTTGCCTGCGCAAAGTGCTTAATCGGTCGCCTATGGGGCGTCTAGACTCGTCGAACATTTTATTTTGCTTTTTATTTTAATTTTCTAAAGGATATATGTACATTTAATTTTAACAATGCATATCAAGAAAGCTACTAGTTGTTGATTGAGATAAAAAACAATACATGTTGTTATATAATCTCAAATGTTATTACTTCGTATTATTCAATAATACAGAGTATGTATTACATAATGAAGTTAAGTGAGTAGGTATAATATATTACTAGTATAAAATGTGTCAACTCTATCAGACATGCATGTTAATGTGTATGTGTGTATATTTTAATACACACACATAAAGACAACATTACTGACATGGTTCTAGCTAAAAGTCAGTCTAGGCACCAACCTAGGAATCGCCTAGTCGCTAGGCGGTGGTTGGACGCCCCGATTTTGTGGTAATCGGTGGGCTAGGCGGTGGGTAAGCGGCCCAAGCAAAAAAAATCCCGACCCAAAATATATTTCCATTCTTTCTTTAAACACCGTTTGATCAATAAGTATTATATTCCTACAACGTTAGTATCATATTCCCACTTCAAAAAATAATTTTTAAATGTATATAAACTTTTTAAAATTTACATGCATGAACAATTTTAGTGACTAAAAAGCACAAAGCTCTTATTTATCTTTTAATTATTTCATTTTTGAGAATTTTACTATAAAAACCATAACATTTAATGATTATATGAGCAATTTCTATATTGAGAATATTATAAAATTATTCATAAAGATTTTTAAAATTCATAGGAAATGGACGAAAAAATATCGGAAATGTCTAGGCGCCCTAGACCCTAGTCGGTGCCTAGGCCCCCGCCTAGGCGGGCTAGGCAGTCAGTCACTGCCCGACTAGTGCCTTTTATAACACTGATAACAAATCATATTTATGCAAAAACATTGATAAAACTATAATTTCTATATCTCTTACTAGTACTCGACTAGGCGCCCGTCTAGTCATCTAGACGCTGGGCTGACACACGACTAGCGTGTAGCGCCTTTTAGAATATTGCTTCAGACAATATTACACCCGACCATATCAAATTAGACCAAATTGAATTCTAATTAAAAACATTTGAATACTATCTCCATCTCTTAAAACTTTAACATATTTGACTTAGGTTAGTATATTACTCCGTATTTGAAAAGTTATAAATGTTATACTTTTATGAAATTATTTTAACTATCAAATAAACCCTCCAACTATCATAAATAGTGCAAATAAGCTCTTTTACACGATGCTTTGTCCGGCTGTCGGTATTTGGGACGGTTTCCAGTGGAATTTTTTGATGAAATGTTTTGAGTCTAGTTTACCCATACAAAATTTCAGCTAAAAATTCAATCGAGAAGGCAGTCAAATGATTTTCTGAAATATACAGTGCTACTTAACTGTGCATCTATCTTCAAAAATTCACTTGACTGCCTTTTAGATTGACGGCCGGACAGAGCCTCCTATAAATGGGTTTATTTGCACTTTTTATGAAAGTTCAAGGGCTTATTTGGTAGTTTTCCCAAATTATTTTTAGAAATTGCTCTAAATAGGAGCAAGAACATTTTGAAATTCCAAAATATGAGTAACATGTTTTTTTTTCTCTCAATAAGAGTAATTTGTCAAGTTTGGAAAAAAAATTCTAAACTTGTTTAACCAAAGAAACAAATATGATAAAGTTTTAAGGAAGAACTACTGTACGAACCATTGCGATTTACACAACCGGCGGTAGGCTCTGATCGTGGGTCGTTATTGTCTTTCAAACGGACACCGACGTTCAGAATCCCGTGCAAATGCCCCGTTGGCCGACAAAGGCGAAGGGTAAGGGGCCGCATGGCAGGATTCTTTACCGAAAGGGGAGGGTAAACGCCGTTTACAACCAGGCTGGCGGTGCCCATCGGCAGGTCACGCAGCCAGGCCACGTTGTAGATCTCAAACTTGATCTCCGATGATTTCGAACCCAGAAACTTGTCGTCCACGTGGATCGCGAATTTGTGGTTCCACGTAGGGTTTGTGCCGCCGTGGTGGTCGACCGCCGTCTTCGATATCGTGTCGTGACCCATCACGGCAACGGCGTAGGTGCGTAACATTCTGGAAATGGGCGGGAGGGCATGGGCGGATATTACTTTGATTTCCAGGATCATTTGGGGTGTCTTATTTGTGCGATTACCCAGCTGGCTAGCCCGGAACGGAAGACATGACCGGGAAACGCCGGAGAGGAGAGCTCGCCGGCTTCCGGTCCGAAGACGATGGTGGCCAAAATTAAATTAAATAGGAGACTGATCGTGTTGAATTGGGAGGGAAAGGAAGACAGATATACGGGCATTAATTAATGAATACTCCCTAATTGAGTCATTAATATGACCGATAATATATACAAGTACGTAGTACTCCGTACTATCGTATATTGATACAATATGAGATCGATATAAAACATGTTACTCCGTATTTGTTAATAGGAATATTTACCTAGGACTAGGAGTAAATGAAAGGATAATTGCAAAAATAGGAATTTAAATTTTAAATTCCAAAAATATGACCAACTCTTCCTATTTATTAAGGATATTATTTTATGTAATCAAAAATAATTATTAAATAAGTCAAACCCAATTATTATTCAATGTTTCACATGGTATCAGCCTAGGTTTTCTCACCTTCCGCCGCTGCCCTCATGTCTGACTCGGATGAGGATCCCTCCATCCGTGACATGCAACGTGATGAGAACTCCGGTCATCCTATTTCCCTTGCATCCGGCTCCACGGCACCCCTTTCTATTAATCTACCCAAAATCAATATTCTTCTTGATCGCTCCAACTACATGCTATGGCGTCAAACAATTCGCTCGGCTCTTGAAGCTTTTGAGCTTGATGATTTTCTGTCTTCTCACTCCATGCCATCGCAGCTTCTTCCCACGGTCACGCCTTCTACACCTTCCCATGATGTCAATCCTCCATATCTTTCTTGGAGGAAGAAAGATCGTCTCATTTTATTGTGGATTCGATCCACGCTGACTATGCCGCTGCTAGCCCATGTTGTTCGTGCCACAACCACCCATGAAGCATGGGACATTCTGTCCAGAATGTTTTATTCACAAAATCGGGCAAGACGTATGCATCTCAAGACTCAGCTTCAACAATTTCCCAAAGGTGACCTATCCATTCTTGAGTACGTCGAGAAGAAGCGTTCCTTTTCGGATGCCCTGGCCGAATGTGACTATATTGTTCCTAACGATGAATTTGTTGAAAGCATTCTTCACGGTCTCGATGCCTCTTATTCTGCTTTCCGCAGTGCCTTCAATTTGCACACTGATGTTATTACCTCCAGCGATCTTCTCGGCCTCTTGTTGCGTGAAGAGGAGCGACTCAACTCGGAAAAACTGGCTCCATTAACGGCCACTGCCCTTGCAGCAACCACGTCGGGAAGTACTACTTCCTCTGCTCGTGGGTCTACTTCTGAAACCGGTGCTCGCCTCATTTGTCAAATCTGCCAAAAACCAGGACATGAAGCCATTAACTGCTGGCATCGGGCGAATTTTGACTCCTTTCCTGAAACAAAACCAAGGCAGCAGCCCAGGCGCGGTCAGCACCGTCGTGGACAGTTGCAGCGATCGGGCTCCAGTCGCGGCTCCTCACAGTCACCCACGCCTACGGCCTATCATTCCCAGCCTTCTCCTCCTGCCAATTTTCTGTCACCTCCTGCCCGGCATGCCTACACTGTTCAAAATCCTCCTTCCACTATAGTTGATCCTTGGTGTTTTGATTCCGGTGCAACGAATCATGTCACGGCAGACTTTGGTAATCTTTCTGTTCACTCTAATTACTCTGGCAATGAAGGATTACAAGTTGGTAATGGTATGTCTCTGCCCATAACTCACTTAGGACATTCGACTTTACAAGCATCGCATGCTCCCATTCATCTTAATAACATTCTCTGTGTTCCTCACATCAAGAAAAATTTACTTAGTGTTTCTCAACTAACCCGTGATAACAATGTTTATATGGTCTTTTATCCAACTTGTTGTTTTGTTAAGGACCTCCAGGGACGGACGTTGCTCACAGGACGCGTTGAGAACGGACTATATCATCTCCAACAACCCTTGGACAAGCCCATTTCTCCTCGCATTTATCTTGGTGAAAAGACGTCTCTTCAAACATGGCATCATCGCTTTGGACATCCCCACGAGTCATCTTTACGTCGCTTAGTCTCTCGTTTTAATTTACCTGTTTCCAGTAATAAATTACACAAACTTTGTGAACCTTGTCACTTAGGGAAAAGTCATAGACTTCCCCTACAACGTTTACATTCCTCTAGTTTACATCCCTTTGATTTAATATATTCTGATGTGTGGGGACCTGCACCCATAACCTCTTTTAATGGAAGTAAATATTTTGTTATTTTTGTTGATGATTGCACAAAATTTGTTTGGATTTTCTTTTTACACCAAAAATCTCAAGTTCTTTCTATTTTTCAATATTTTCAAGCTATGATTACCACTCAATTTAATACTAAAATCAAACAATTTCAATCTGATTGGGGTGGTGAATATAGATCTGTTTCCTCATATTTACAAACGCAAGGTATTATTCACCGTGTTTCCTGTCCTCACACTCAATCCCAAAATGGGGCAGCAGAGCGTCGCCACCGTACTATCATTGAAAAAGGCTTGGCCCTACTCGCTCATGCTAATATGCCTCAATCATTTTGGGAACATGCTTTTCACACAAGTGTGTATTTGCATAATCGCACGTTAACCCCGCTTTTAAAAGACAAATCCCCCTTTGAATGTTTATATGGCAAACCACCCGACTACTCCTTTTTAAAATCCTTTGGGTGTCTTTGCTATCCTCTTTTACGTCCATATAATAACTCAAAACTTGAGTTTCGCTCTTCCCCCTGTATTTTTATTGGTTATAGTTCACAACATCGGGGTTATCAGTGTCTTCATGTTCCTACAAACCGTATCTATATTGTCCGCCATGTTGTGTTTGATGAGACGTCCTTTCCGTACCAACTTCACGTCCACCATCCACCCCCCACTGCTGCCCCACCCTCCTCCCTTCCCTCTCTACAGCCGCTGCGACTGGCAGCCTCAACCCCACTGGCCGATAACTATCAGCCGCCTCCACCTTCCACCGGCCCTCTCACTAATGCCTCCTCATCACCCAACCATCAAACCACTGCCTCCCCTCCACTGTCCGACAGGGAACCATTTACTCTACCCGCGGCCAGTCCGTCTCCATGCTCCAGTGATGCCCCTCCGTCTCCGCCAGGTCCCAAGCAAAACTCAGGTATCCCTCCTCACTCTATTCCCACCTATTTTAGACCTGTTGACACTTCAACTCATTCTATGGTCACCCGCTCAAAAACGAACACCCTCAAACCCAAGACTCATTTGTCTACCAAACATCCTCTTACTATACCCACATCTATTCCTATTGAACCCAACACTTTTTCTCAGGCCTCCAAATATCCTGAATGGCAACATGCAATGCAGGTTGAGTACGATGCTCTAATAAAAAATGGGACTTGGGATCTTATCTTACCTCCTCGTAATTCTAACATTGTTGGTTGCAAGTGGGTGTACAGGGTCAAAAAGCACGCTGATGGCACGATTGAGCGCTACAAAGCTCGATTGGTTGCAAAGGGCTTTAATCAGGAAGAAGGAGTTGACTACTCTGACACTTAATATGGATATTAATATGGATATTATTAATATACTTACATTCAACATACAATAACATAAATACTAACGATTGAAAACATACCGACGGCCTAGAGGGTCTTCGCCCCGTACATGATGTGGTCCCAGAAGACGTGGAGGCTGGTCAGGGAGTGGGTGTCCATCAATGCCATGATATGCGACTACAATGGGACGCCCAATGTGGATATACTCCCATGACCAAATCTGGAGGAGTAGCAAAAATCCTCCAAGCTCTGTGCTCCCTCTATGGCAGCCGCGACACAGCTGTCTGTAGAGAACGAGGCGGACACCTAACAAGCGCTCACACTCATCTACCCACTGTCAACAAGCAGAGCCTGTTACAGCTCTCCCATGAACCTGTAGCCCAGTAAGTACAGCAACATCTCCCAAGGTCACAGTCACCTCACCAACAGGGAGGTGAAATGTGTGTGTCTCCTGTCTCCAACGCTCAAGAAGAGCAGTGAGTAGCGCTCTATCGAGAGGGACAGTAGCCACCAATCTGTGCAGACCATAAAAACCCGCAGCACGAACATATGCAAGTACTATGTCGTCCACATGCATATGTGACAAACCGCGCAGGTGCTCACGACACCTATCCACCTGAACATCGAGGCCAAGCCACACATCCTCACTCCTGTGCGAGGCCTGCAATGTTAGGACAGAACGATCACTCGGCCCAGGATCCGTTGTCACATCCATGCCTACTAACAATTAAAATCGTATTAGTTAATTTTTAATATTATACTAATTCTTTTTTTAATCATCCATTTTATTAATTTAAAAAAAGAATTTTCAATATACACATTCAAATTTTCAATAGAAAAAACTACAAACAAATATATCCAAAAGTCAAAATTCACAAACAACTCACATTTCAATATCAAAATACCAAAATTTAAGTCTATATTTCAATACAGGTGTTATGCTTCAAAAAGACCATAAGCTTGAAAACCAAATTCATAATCTTCATTACAACAATACAACCAACCCGAACAAACACTTCATTACAACATTACAACATCTGCTAATATATCCTACTTCCCAGCAAGACGATAACAAACAACCCGAACCACACTACATTCCAGGAGAAAGTCCCATTGCCTTTCTTTGACATCTTGAGTTCCTCTTCCATATTTTGGAGTTTCAAAAGACCAATTCCACGAACACAACACTTGATTTCAGCTTGCATCTCTAATTCTTTCATTCGGAAATTCTCTTCAACACTGGTAATCTTCTGAAGCAAGGTCTCTATTCGTCTCAGGCAAGTGCCACATTGTTCATCCTCAACCCATTCAAAGAAATTGCACTTTTGACCACTCAAGAAACGACCACACCCATAAAATCTTTTCCCCCTATTTTTGTCTATTGTAGCAGTCCACACTGGTGCTTGGAGTCCACAGTCACACCTCTTAATTCGCCTTGTTGCATACTTGCATCCATCGACCAGGACTCAGCACTCGAAGAACTCATCGCACCTTAATTTTTTTAGCATTAATAAAGTTTAAATTATCATTTCCACTCTTAATTCGTTAATACGCGTGGATTCAAATGAAGATTTCTTTGTTATCTCACCTTAAATTTTTTAGCATTAATAAAGTTCAAAAATTTAACAAACTTCAATTCATACCTCCAA